TCAGTGTGTACAGGGGAAGTTGAGTTCACACATATATGTTTCCCACTATCTACTGCATCCCTGTGGTATACATTCTTTGACACTGCTCCTATTGAGAGGTGAGACTTATGTTCTCTCCTCTTGAAACTGAGTGGGTTTTTGTAACTGTTTAAGATCAATAGAGTGCAGTGGAAGTGACATTATGTGACATCCAAGTCTAGGTCATAAAAGTTGATGCAGCTTCTGCTTTGCTCTAGGGAATACTCACTCACTTGTGACAACTTTGGCTGCATGTATGCAGTCCAACCGCCCTGAGGCCACTATACTAATAGGAATACCAAAATAATTCCCAAGGAGACCATGGGGAGAGACCCTGAGACAGAAAAAGGTGCCTGAGCAGCCTCCAGCTATTAACCCCCGCCCCACCACACACACACACACGCGCGTGCACGTGCACACACACACACACAATTCCAGCTCTAGCTACCAACTGCTGGATATTGTTTTGAGCAATCATGTTTGAGCTGATTTATTTTATGTGCAATATCAACAGCCCCTCTTCCTTCCAGTTTTCAAATTCATTCTAAAGCGCTAGGTTTCTGTTCTTCTGATTGGTTTCAAAGAATAAAGTGGCTCAGTGATTGAGAAACAGGAACCAGGGATAGGAAATGTGGCTATTAGAATATAGTATCTGAACACAGACCCACTGATCATATCATTGTCCCCGAGCTCCCCCTTTGTTGCTGTGTGCAATGAAATCTTAGTCCTCCTTTGCTTACGAACGGCTGTCTTCTCCCAACATTCACAGTTCAGAACACTAACAGACAAAACTAGTGCAAAATAAGTCTAATTTAAATTAATGTGATGGCGAGAGCCCCTGATGCAGAAGAGTTGCCTATGGGTTTCTGCCTCACTGATTGGTTTTGTCACTGAAAGAACATCACCATCCTTTGAGCTTCGGTTCTTCCCCTCTGAACTAGAAACAGTACCTCTCATATCTACTTCACTAGGTCACGGAGAGAGCCATATGTGATAGTATATTTGAAAACATTTTGTGAATTGTAAAACATTTTGTGAATTGTAAAACAGTGACCAAACATAAGAGATTATCAATATTATCATCGCTGACAAGTTAATTCACCTGATTTATTTTCCTCATTTGCAAGGTGGGAGCAGTATAACATCATCTTCTTCTTACTCTCACCAAAATGCTACTATAAACATCGGCAATAATACCTAAAGTCACTCAGATTGGGTAGGAGAGAGGAGAGGCCAGGGTGGAATATATTAAGTAAAATACAAGGTATCTAGTCAACAAATATACATTGACTGGCTACTGTGTATTGGCGCTAGGCTAGATGCCCAGCATACTGCAATCAAGAAATGGTCTTTGCTCTCAAGGAGATTACAATATAGTGGAATCCATGGACACATAACTCAATTTTGATACAGTTTATTAAGAAGTAAAATCAGAGAGAGTAACTAAAATGGGCTCAGGTCTCATGGGTGGCTATGTAGCATGGTGGTGAAGAGCATAGAGTCTGTTCCTGACTGCTTAAGTCTGAATCCTAATTACACCACTTATTGCTGTCTAACCTTGGGAAAGTTAAGATCACCGTGCTTCATTTCCTCACAGGTAAAAGGGGAATAATAACCAACTTCAAAGAACTGTGGAAGCACTACATGAGCTGATACATGTAAAGCATTTATCACAATGTCTGGAACACAGAGTAAACACTCAAAAACATGAACTATTATTATTAATACATGGTACTGTGGAGCCTATATAATGTTGAGGCCATAGTTTTGGGGGGAAATCATAGAAGCCTTTCTAGAGGCAGTGACATCTGAGATGAGATTTGAAGGAGGACAGAATTAGCAGGTCAAGGGATAAGGTACCGTGAGTGAGGTGAATATATACCAGGCAGAAAGAACACCCAGATTATTTAAAACAGTGCTTTCTCAAACTTTCAGGTGCATGAAAGTCATCTAGGAATCTTATTAAAGTGCAGATTCTGTTCAGTAGTCTCTGGAGTGGAACATTTCTAACAAAGTTCCCAGGGAATGTTGATGATGCTGGTACCTGTTCCATACTTCCACTTAGTAGCAAGGTTCTAACTGGGTGCAAAAATCTCAAGAGGCAACTGTGAGCTATTTAAGGATAGCTGGTATTAAAATTGCAAAATTGAGGGTTGGGGGCTATTGTGCTGGGTGGAGAGAGAGTAGGAGAGATGAGATCTGTGATGCTGTTCACTAAGGGGCTAAACCACAAAGGGACTTTAAGAAAAGAAAAAAGAAATTTAGAACAGCAAAGAGAGCTTAAGCTGCCAAGCGAAAAAATAGGTTGGAGGGGAACTCCACTAGAAGAAAGGAGATCAACTGAGAGGCTTTTCCTGTTAAGGAACAGTAAGAGAGAAATGATGGTGGCCTGAATTAGGTGGCCTTGGGGATGGAGAGAAATGGGGGAATTCAAGAGCTATTAGGAGGTATGACTGACAATTTGGTGATTGATTTGCTTGGAGGATAAAAGGGATGGAGATCACAAGAAAGACAAGGCATGAGGTTATCAGGTTCACTTCAGCTGCCTACAATCAACATATAATAACAAAGCACATGGAAATAGCTGCTCTTCGATGGCACACATGGGCAGGGTCTTCACCTTAGATGCTCTTGCTACTTTTGGCAATTGCTGACCTGCTTTCTTCAAACTACTGAAGACTGCCTCAACTTCTACTAACTACTCAAGGCCTAGCAGAGAAACACAAAACCAGGAAAGTAAATCCGTACTTCAAAATTTAGTACTTACTCTCTTATTTTGTTCATTAGTTGTGTGGGTTGTGTTGGCCTCCCTAAACTGGCTATCGCTCTGAGGGCAAGGCCATGTCAAATCTATTTTTTCCATTCCCTATGGTGCTGATGACCAAGTAGGCACTTAATACAAATAGTTGACTATTTGATAGAATAACATCTAGATGATTACATATCGATTCCACTTATCTCATAAATAATAACTATAATAACATCTGTAAAGTGTAGTGTTTTACATGCATTATAAATGCCATCATGGTCTTTGGTTTATCAGAATTCTCTGAGATCCTTATATCCAGACAGTTTGTATAATCTGACTACCGTTTCGTTGAATTATTTTTAATAGAATGGAGGCCTATCTCATTACTAACAAACTCTACTGCCATCTACTGTTCATGTAGTAAGTTACATATTGTGCTCCCGCCACTTCTATTCTTTACTATTGAATGTTTTCTTCAGATCTCAAGGGCTTTCTACGCTTTAAGCTTCAACCAGAGTAGATATAATTTTCTAATAGTTTCTGGTACTTTGTTATAACGATCAAGCAAGATGTTGATGGTTTTAATAGGCAAAAAGAGTTTATGTTTTTATGTAATATTAAACATTTTTAAATTTAATGACATGATGACATTTTTAGGCTTCTCCCCTCCCCCCAAGAATAACTAAAGGAAAAAAGTAAAGAAACTTCTGAAGAATTTTTTCTTACCTCTAGAAGACATCATTAAACTGGACATCTATTTTGGTTATATTCCATTCAGGGTATCTTACTTATCCTTCAAGGTCCTCCTTTCAAATGATACCTTCTTCATAAAACTTTCCCTGATTCTTCATTCTTGAATAAATTCTTCCTTCCACAATTGGTAATTGTCATAATGAACCACATAGTGGAAAGGACAACACAAATTCCAATTAAAAAATAACTTTATAAGTCATTTCCCCTTACTCTCCCTTCTCTTTTGGTTCCAGTTTTTCTTTTGCAGACAAAATAAAACTGGACTCTTAGCGGTAACAACATTAGGAGCTGTTCTTCTAAGAAGGGAACATTTTAGGAAGAGCAAGGACAGAAGCAGAAATATACTTGTTGGGTAATCTGATAAGATTTGAGGAAACTTATTTTTGTTTTTGCTTTGAGAACTTAGCCAACTGGCTGTACTAGACGGTGAGGTTTTCAAAAGTTAATGAAGTGACAGTAGATCAGTACTCAATTCTTGCAATCAGTACTCAATTCTTGCATATTCCCCTTCTAATTCTCTACTTTAGAATGAAAATTCCTGTTTAAAGAGGGTGGGGGGCAAGCAAGGAAAAATTATTTGACTAAATTTCTGGCATAATTTAGGTGTCTGAGAATAGTTCAGTTGGGTATTTAATGGGGAAGCAGTGCGGTGGTGGCCAAAAGCCCAAACGCCTTGGGTTTCATAGATGTACATTGAAGTCCAGTTTCTGCTACAGATTAACTGTGTTTTAGCAAGTCACTTGAGCTTCCTCGCAGGATAGGATTAATCACTTTCTCTTCTGTGTATTGTATGTATTTCTACTTAGGTCCCTCTCATAGGTGTTTGGATGCCTTTCTTGTTCAGGGTCACGGCACCATGGCGCAGCACTCTGGGAGTCTGAAGCGTCCCGCTCTTACACCTGGCGTCTTCTTCAGGGTCACGAACACGGATTCAATCCCACACTTTCAATTTCTTCACGGCGAATGGATGAAAATCGCCAAATTTAAAGCAGCCCCCGCTCTGAAGAGCCTTGGAGGGCTTACCACTCAAGTGGAGTGAGGCAGGTCAGGGACTTCTTCTCATCGTCCCATCTTCCCTGGCCTCTTCTGACACGGAATATTTGAAGGGTACCGGGGAACACAGCGCTGGTGTGAAGGTAGAAAGAGCTTTTCTCTGGTAGGAACACAAAACTTCGACTCTAGCTGTGTTTCCGGAGGCATTCTCTCGGACCTAGAGAGGGACCAACTTCCGGCTCTGATATCGTGTCTTCCGAGTTTCGAGCTCCGCCGCTTCCGCCCGGAGTTGCTCTAGGCTTCGGCTACGAACAACCACTTCCGCCAGGAGTTCCTAGCGGCTCGGACTTGGAAACTGGCCCTAAAGCGGCCTCTCCTTCTCCCCTCAGCCCGCCCACTCGAGGCCAGGTCCCCAGGTTGCGGCGGCGGCGGCTGGGCCTGTTCGCGGAGCGTTCTCTCTGGTGGAGTCCTGGCCCTGAAGGTACCCGGAGGTGCAGGAGAGAAGCCCTGGCCTGGCCGAGCCCGGGTCTTCCCGCAGCCAGTGACAGTGGCCACAGGCCTCGCCTAGCCTACCCCAGCCTGGGGCGGGGCCCGACCTCCCCGCCCCGGACCCCGCCCCTCTGGCCAGCCTTGCGCCGGGTCATTCTCTTATTCAGCCCTGCGGCGGTGTAACTGCCTTCCACCTCGCAGATTGGAAACTCCCTTGCTCCGGTCGCTGGGGAACATGGAGTTTGCGGAGCTGATTAAGACCCCACGGGTGGACAATGTGGTGCTGCATCGTCCTTTCTATCCAGCCGTTGAGGGGACCTTATGTTTGACTGGCCACCATCTGATCTTGTCCTCCCGGCAGGACAACACGGAGGAGTTGTGGCTCCTCCATTCAAACATCGACGCCATCGACAAGCGGTGAGTGCCCATCCCATCGCCCTATTCCGCAGAGAACCTGGGATCCTTAGGTGGACGTCCGAGGAAACGCGCCCCAGTGTTTTCTTCGCGTCCTGTCGCCTAACTAGCCAGCAAAATGAGCCCTCTCTGGCCTACATTGTTTTAGAAAGCAGAAAACTATCCAAATGAGATACCTGTTTTCCATTACATCTGGATGGAATTCCCAGGGTTATCACATTGTTTTCCTGATTATCATTTTGGTACATAACACTACTTGGATGGATTTTCAATGTTTTCTTTTAAAAATTTCTTCTCCTTGCACCATCAGATTAATTGTCCATCACAGTTCATGAAGTTGTGATTGAATGTGATTTGGGTAAAGTCTTTACTTCCACTTTTGAGGAAAACTCAAAAGAACTCAGTATGTACTGTCTAAATTCCACAAAACCTTTTTTCCCCTCAAAAATGTGCAGTTGATCATATTTCTCCTTATTACATTCTGGGCTATCCATTTAATACTTCCCACTCCGGGAGATTATAGTATCTTTTATTTCTCTTTACTCAGTTCTGCTTTTGGAAAGGGCAGAGAGTTGGTGCTTAAGCAAAGGTGTTAATTAATTAACCTCTTTTTTTGCACCCCAGATTTTGTCTTTCCAAAGTAGTGTCTGAAACTCAAAAAAGTTATACTTCCGTCTGCAGTCAAAATTCTTATTCCCCTAGTGGCTGCACACTTACTCTAGCCAGGAGCATGCAAATTGATAATTCAGTTTACACTAAAGTATAAATGGATGACGATAGCTTTTTCTATTACCTCTTAAGAGAATTTGGATATTAAGAAGATTCCTAGAGAGGTTACACCTTAAAAGAAAGTAATTTCTAATGGTGGAATTTGAAACAGTATCGGTGAAGTGGTAATCGATTTATTTTTTTCAGAGGGCTCTCAATAGACTTCCCAGATTGATCACCTGGGTAAACGTTTTCAGTGGTCTCTCCTTGCCTGCACAATGAACTCTAAACCCTTTAGTCTGTCATTCATGGCACTCCATGTTCTGACCCTAATCTATTTTTCCTACCTTAGTTCTTGCCATTCACTTTCATGAACATTTTTTAGTAGCCAGTCCTCATTTTTATTTGTGCTTATCCATGTCCTGCATTCTTTCATGTCTGTATTATGCCGATGTTCTTTCTTTTGCCTGGAATGCCTTGCTCCTCCCAAGTTTCTCAAACATTTATTAAATGTTGTTATGTTACACATAATTTGTAAAGCATTAAGAACACCAAGATGAATAAAATATAATCCAACTGTTACCAATCTATCAATATTAAGTTTAATTATTTCAACTGCCACCTCTTTCACAGATTCTTCTGTTAATCCCACATCTAGAAGTAATTCCCTTCATCGACATCCTATAGCTCTTAATTATACCTCTTTCATAAGTGTGTATTAAAATTTGTATTTGGATAGTTACATATATGTTAGCTCCTTGAAGCTAGGACTCACATTTGGTTAATTTTTATCTTTCAGAACTCTTAACTGTGGCTTGGGCTGATAGACACATAAAAAATAAAAGGATTGACCACTGAATGGTCAGTGGTGCCACAGAATACAAATTAGAGTTTCTCCATGCCATCACCTCTTTTTTTTTTTTCTTATTTACTTCTTTTTATGGTTGCTTTTTACTCTTTCAATTCACCATATTTACTTAGCATTTACTACTTGCTGGGCCTGATATGGCTTAAAGAAGTATATAAGACCCATGTTAATCTGTTAGGTGATAAATGACAAACTGTACACACATTTATCTTTTTTCCTGGGAAACAGCATGATGTAATGGAAAGAACATGAGTTAGGGGTCAGGTCAGAGGTTGTTTAATTGTTGCTTTCAAGAAATATTTACTTCCATATGTCTTCTATGTACTGAGCACTGTTGGGGCTCTGCAGACTCAGTGGTGACTGAGATGGATGAGGACCTTATTTATGTACTAGAGGAAGAGATGGACACTCAGATAAATCAACAAATAAATATATACCAACGTCAGGTAATAAGTGCCGGAAAGGAAAATGGAACGATAGAGAATGCCAATGAAATTAGAATTTCAGAGAAGACAAGTGACATGTGAATGAATGACATCCGAATAAAGGGAGGAAGCTAGCATGTGGATATCAGAAGAAAGAGCATTTCAGCCTGGGAACAGTGAATGCAGACACCTGAAACATAAACATGCCTGGCATGTACAAGGAAGAACAAAGAGGACAGTGTGGCTAGAGGGCAGTAAGCAAGAGGTAGAGACTAGGGGGACAGCAGAAACTGGTTGGAAGGATAAGTAGGGGCCAGATCGT